GTGCGGTGAAGCGCTGTTTTGATGTGATTGGCCCCCACCTGCTGCGACTTGTGAATGTGTCCCTAACCAAAGGTGTTTTCCCTGAGGCGTGGAAAACAGCCGAGGTGGTGCCGATCCTTAAGCCACGCGGTGATGTACACGAACCATCTAGCCACAGACCGATATCACTTTTATCTCACTTGTCAAAAGTTGTTGAAAAGGTTGTGTGTGACCAACTGTCGCGGTACCTATCGGACCACAACATTTTATTTTACAACCAGTACGCCTACCGATCATGTCACAGCACGGAGGACGCCGTGCTCGACGCTGTCGAATGGATCAGCCAGAACTCAGAGCGGGGAGAGGTCTCCTCAGTCACGGCAGCTGACCTCAGCAAGGCCTTCGACAGCGTCGACCACGGCGTCCTCCTGCGCAAGCTGGAGTGGTACGGGATCGACCCGACCTGGTTTGGTAGTTATCTTGGCGGCCGGGGGCAGCTGGTCAGGGGCGGCAGAACAGTCCTGCCGGTCCCCTGCGGGGTTCCGCAGGGATCCATAGCCGGGCCGATCCTCTTCAGCCTGCTAACGAACGACCTGCACTGCCATCTACCGGACTGTCGGGTGATCGCATATGCTGACGATGCCCAGCTGCTCGATCACTCGCGTCCTGACCCTCAAAATTTAGCATCACTAAAACAACGTGTCGAAAACTCCTTGGATGTCATGAAACACTGGTTTAGCTCAAATTCTCTTAAAATGAACCCTCAAAAGACCGACTTCATTCTCATCGGAACCCGTCAGACTCTCAGCAAGATCGAAAACTTTCAAATCTGCATAGCTGAGTCAGTCTTAAAACCGTCACCAACCATCAAATTGTTGGGGGTGACTGTCGACTCGTGTTTGGCCTGGGACGCCAACATCAGTCACATCGTCAGGAGGTGCAATGCCCTCCTCATATCCCTCTCCAAGTTCCGCCACCATTTTGACCAGGAAACGCTAAAGTTACTCATTGAGACCCACGTGTTCCCTCACATTCTGTACTGCATTTCGGTGTGGGGCGGAACCACAAAAAATCAACTCACTCGGATCCAAAAACTCATCAACTTCAGTGCTCGGATCGTGACAGGCGTGCGGCGTCGGGAGAGGATCGGGCCGGCTCTGGCATCCCTGGGCTGGCCCGGAGTGGAGCGGCTGGTGTGGGAGAGGGACCTACTGAAGGTGTGGAAGGCGCTCCACATACCGGCTTACCCTCTCTCCATCCGCCGCATGTTTGTGTCCCGCTCTGAGGTGTCTGGCCGGGTCACACGCTCTGTAGAAGCTGGCGCCCTGGAGCTGCAGAAGTGTAGGCTCTCTTCCACACAGAGAACGTTTAGTTACCGCGCTGCTGCCGCGTGGAACCGGCTGCCGCCGGCCGTCAGGGAGCAACCCACGCTGACCGCGTTTCGCCGCGCAGTGGCGGCCAGCGAAGCCTGAGGTCTTGGGGTGCTGTGTTTTATTCCGGTTTTAGTGCAATTAGTTGTCTTATTTTATCTGCCAGTGCCTATTGCCTTCTTGCATTTTACTGTATTGTACATGACGCTGAATCCTGAAAAACCATGTTATATGGATGGATTTTAGATCAATACATACATACATACATACATACATACTTGCTCGGAACGTGTAAGAAGCGTAAACATTTTTCTTTGATGTTATAAAATACACAAAAACGCAAAAAAATAAACGTATACGTGGTTACCTCTATTATTTCTGGTCCAAGTCGTGGCGGATAGTCGGTCATTTGAGATCGTTGTAGAACAAAAACTAGTGGAAAATTAAATTAAGTCAGGCGCAAAGCCTTGGCACCGCGTGCTTTGAGGGCTCTGCTAGACAGATTGACAGCCATATGTTGCAATAGAGCTGAATTCGTGGTGCCCGTCAACCGTCGACCTCAATGGACCACATGTCTGACGTTGCGCCAAAGTCTGACTGATATTTCGGTGACAAGGAACTACAGCGAGGTGGGTGGTATGTCAGAGACTGTGGTTTGAGGGACGGCAACTGTCTGAAGTTCGTCATACAACTTAGCCGGAAACTGTGTCGTCTCAGTACCAATCACTGGTAATTCTGGCAACGGAAGCTGGTCTGATTGTGCTGCCCGGAATTCCGTTCAAACTTCAAAGTTGTTAGAAGTTTGAAAAGTTTCTGTCACTTTGTATAGCATGATTACATCGCATCAAATAACAGCGATGTTTGAATATGTATTATTTTTGCCCTAAGTGGATATCATTCGTGTCATGTGACATATTCATATTTGATGCATATTGCTTGGAATATGTAGAGGAAAATGTTTATTTGGCAAGATTATTTAGACCGATATAAAAATAGAAGATATTTCTACCAGTACTTGCCAGACATTTCTTCCATCAGTACCTACCTATCCTTCTCTACGTGCGTACCACATGCAAGCACAGCACACCCCACCCCTTGCGACCTTCCTGTTCAGTGCTCCCCCACCCCACCCGACCTCTAGGCACGCCCATGACATCATTCAGTCACGGCCCGTCCGCCAGCCGTTCCATAAACCAGCGCACTCCATCAGCTTCTATTCGGCGCACTTGAGCCAATTGAGGCGCACCGCCGCAGTGGCCGCACAACGGGCGGAGTGGAGTGCCACAGAACACAGACGCAGTTCCAGGAGGCGTGTATCTGAGTGTATGCTGCACTAGAGCCAACGAGCTAGGCTATTTGATTCTCGGAAATAGTGTTACTCCTCAGCAGAGCTATGTTGATTTGGTCAATTATTGCGTCGCGTTGCAGATCCGGTAGGCGGTAAAGTAAAATGCCATTTTGAATCGTAAAGCCAAGGTGAAAGCAAAATGACAGAGCAAAGCACAAAGTTACACATAAACTATGAGTAAAGTTTACGCTGTTCAAAGATGCTTCTGTGATACTCCGATGTTTGCTATACGATTGCCTCTGGAGAACAAATACAAAAGACGATCATATCCACGGAGCAATTACTATCACACTGCTTCCCAGTTAGTTTCCGGCAAACGCTCCCCTTCCTTCCCAGTTCGGTTCCCACTCCTCCCAAATTCACCTCCCAGCAGCCTCTCCCCAGTTTCCCGCCCACCCGGCGCTCCCCGCTACCCCCTCCCCCACCCTCCCCCTCCCGACCCCCCCTCCCCCCCGCCACGCGACCCTCTCACTGATCCAACCACCATATCCGGCGCATCAGTATTCGCACTGCTCCATTACGTTTTGACACTGGGTGCGCCACATTCGCCGAAAAGGGCAGCTACCGCGCCGGGAGCGTCGCAGCGCGCCGTGCTGCGCCGGCTCACGTCTCAATGGCACCGCGTTGGCCGTCGTCAAGGATTGGGTTAGTGTTGAGTGCGAGGGTGGGGCGCAGTGAAAGAGAAGAGCTGTCAGCGAGGGGGGATCAGATTGGTGGTGATGGGCTTGCGAAAGGAGGGCTTGGACGCTGCGGATGATGTGTTCTTAGAACGCACGAGGACTAAGAGGGAATAATAGTAACTGACTGTTGCGATAACTGTTCGCGCTGCAGTCGGCTAGCAATTAAATTGGTTGTATGACCAAAAACACATATATGGACAGTTTTCAGGCATCGAACCTTTTACGTCATTGTCGTACTTTACGAGAACACGCTATGGGTTTTATGGATGCATGATATTGAAGGAAAAAAATGAGATAGCTAAATGATAGCGATCTATTCGAGAGTGTTCCAATCGATGCGGCTAAACGAGACGCATACCTCTTCTGAACCGTTCCCAGAATTTGTGCAGCATTTTGTTAAAGCATTTACGTATCAGAAGAGCAAAAAAGAGCGGTTGCGTGACGCATTTCAATCTTTTTAAATTCGACCATACCACATGAACGTCATATTAGTACTTCTCCGTGGATTTAATGATAAAATATCGTGTCACCTGTCACATGTATGCACGACACGAACACCGCATTCTGAGACTCGGAATTTCTCAGGCTGCGTGCTTGGAACGCTTTGCATTCCAGTGTCGCTTCAGTCTGCATTCCTGACGAACTTACAACGTGCAGAAGCCGAAACTGTGCAAAGTATGTTAATTTGACATCGCGAAGAGCGCATCGGTGATTTAAAACGAGCCGCTGCGATGCCTTCAATGACCTCACTGTCGATCGCTGTCAATGTTTTCCGTGTTCGTTGAAAGAAAAGTTTTCAGAGCGACGAGAGAAGTCGATGCGCTTCGTTATAGCTAGATGACGGAATTCCTGTGTAAAATATTACATGACATGACATAGCAAGCTTAGCATTTATATTTTTATTTCACTTCATAAACCATCGGCTAATGCGTGATACGCTCAATTTTTTGTTAAAACTATCACCAGTGAACCGGGCGTGGTAGGGTTGGGTGGTGGGTCCATGGTGTCATTCGGTACACAACGTAGCGTGACGTCGGGCCCGCCAAAGCCATCCATTCATCTATTTGGACTAAATATCTTATAAAACGAACACTTACAGCGGTGTATTTTTCTAATTATCAAAATACCCGGTAAACATGAGCTTCCCGAGCGAAAATGTTATTCGAGCTAAGCGGGGTCATAATCGATTATGTGATTTGCACTCTACTTCTTACGCTTGTGATTTTTTTCTCTTTCTCTCTCTCTCTCTCTCTCTCTCTCTCTCTCTCTCTCTCTCTCTCTCTCTCTCTCTCTCTCTCTCTCTCTCTCTCTCTCTCTCTCTCTCTCTCTCTTTCTGTCTCTCTGTCTCTCTGTCTCTCTGTCTCTCTGTCTCTCTGTCTCTCTCTCTCTCTCTCTCTCTCTCTCTCTCTCTCTCTCTCTCTCTCTCTCTCTCTCTCTCTCTCTCTCTCTCTCTCTCTCTCTCTCTCTCTCTCTCGATTCCAGATTTCTCCCCTCGCACCTTTCCCAACTCACACCCATTCAATGTTACGTCAATTACAATGCATAATATACAAAGTAATAACAATCACGCAAATCACTAATAACAAATAACAACATCTAACCATTGCCCTCCGCTGTCCCCAGATGTCGTCAATAACCCGGCAGCTGCTGGCCTTGCTGGTGGCCTGCTGGCCTCTGACAGGCCTCACGGGACAGCAGTACAGGCCAAAGCCTGACCTACAAGCCTTCTCAGTTCTCGACCTCAAGGAGAGCAAAAGTTCACGGTACGTATATTGGTACCTAATTGGTTTTAACTGTCTTCGATAACTTCACTTCTTTGTGGATATGATGATAATGAAAATGTAGCATGCCCACTTTTCTAGCCCAGTCGCCGATAAACCAGCATAAATAAAAAGGGGACCTGAATGACTATCACTACATAGTCTGACAGTCACTGGGATCCGATCGACGACTTACTCCTTCGATGCGGACTGCTTGGGCCGGGGAGACCTCTGGGTCTGGCGTATGGCTCAACCCTAGAACGCCTAGGGGGGGGGGGGGTTGTATCAACCCCCCCCCCTGAGGTTTTTTCGAAGTGCACGCTAAACGGCTTGTCGTAGCGGGCTGAAATTTTCAATACCCTCTGGGGCAACCTTTGCGCATCTTTTGCCGAAAAATTGATCGGGTCATGTCAGGTCACGGAGTTATGACGTCATAAGAGGTACAGCCTCCGGCCGGATTTTCACAAACTGAGTGCCAACGCCCGAGGTTTCCTGCCGGTAGTACGGACATCGGTTGATGGATCGTGATGAAACTTCCCATGCATGTTGGGGCAAGTATTGGCTATCATATGGTATAAGAAATTTGACCGGGTCAGGTCAGGTCACGGAGCTATGACGTCACAAGAGGAACAGCGTCCGGTACTATTTTTGAAAAGCGCCCGAACCACTATTTTGCTAATTCTTGTCACCTCAATGGGAATATGCAGCAATATTAGCTTCTATAGGGAGCAAATGGACCTCCCAAATCCAAAAATACAATCAGATTTCAAAAATTTAAATTTTGATTTTTCGAATTTCTGCCGCCGACTGTGACCTTGCCGACTTCCGGCGCTCCCAACGCGCCATTTTTAGAGCTAGGGAAACGAAATACATACCAAACGATAGAGAATTGATCAAGGAACACGATAGTGAAGGTTTCAAGTCGATATCTCCCACCGTTTTGCCGCAATCGCCGCCGAAAGTTGAAAAAAGTCTATTTTTCCGAAAATTTGACTTTTGACCGGTCAAAAGTAGGTCAAATGTTGACCTAGGACCAAAAAATATACCACCAATCGCGAGATCTCGTTGAGAGCAATCCGTTGGTTTTTTCCGCTAAGCTCTACGACCTTCCGTTTCGAAACGCCAGGGGGGGGGTCGTAACAACCCCCCCCCCCTGGTCGTTCGTGTTATGAGAAATGGCCTGGTCGTGCGAGGGTTAAGACATTGTGTGTGACCTAAAACTCATAGACCATACATAGCTGACCTGTCCTCACCCGACCTCACACAACCTGACCTGACCTGACCTGATCTGACCTGACCTGATCTGACCTGACCTGACCTGTTTACAGGTACGACCCGTCACCATCTGACCTGGACATTGGTCGACTGACGATGAAACTGGGAAGGTTTATGGACACGGAGTATATGAGTATCGACAGGCCACGAAGTCTGCGGAGAGGAGACAACGTCACATCGTGGCACCTGCCCTTCAAGGTGAGGAACGGAGGGAGGAAGAAAGACGAGAAGGGGAGAAAGGGAGGGAGGATGGTGTTAGTGAGACGAAACGGTAGAGATGGGGGAAACATGAAGTTGATGAAAATGATAATGCTAATGATTTCAGGTGTCCGGACGAAGTAGTTTTTGCATTGTCATGCAGCTTTGGATCTTGAAAGCCAGTCGTCAGGGTATGAACTTGAAGGGAGGTCCTTCGACCGTTCATCCTGTGGGCTACTCTCAACGAGCACCCCACCCCTGTTTCATTTGTGGTGTAAAATTTTACTTCACTCTTGTGCACAATCTCGATTGACGTTTGTCGACCCTCATCCCACTGAATCAACGGGATTGATTTGCCGTTGCATACCTAATCTAACGTTTGGCTTCGACTGTTGTCCCACAGGTGCGGAAAAAACGGTCACATACGTACCGTCGGCCGCATCCCAGCAAACTTACGCCGTCTTCGACTGGACGTGCTCACTCTCCCGGACGGCAGCCGGCAGAAACTCCGCCTCTCACATCGACTCCGGCGCAAGATGCTCAAATATCTCCACGCGTACACACACTGCGCCGTTCGCCACCGATGGAAGGACCTCGGTTTGCGCTTCTGGCCTCGCTGGCTTCGCACAGGAGAATGCGACACGAAGCGCTCGTGCTCGATTCCGGCTGGGATGACTTGCCAGCCTGCACGCAGTCGCCATCTAACGCTGCTGCGCTGGCACTGTCAGGATTGGAGGCGGGTGAAGCACTGTAAATGGCTTCGCGTCAGGTATCCAGTCGTCAGCAAGTGCGAGTGTACCTGTCCACGGCGATAGGTGGCGCTGCGAGCGGGCGCTAAAGTGGACAGGTGACGCTGTCAGCGCTGTATAAGCTCTCGGTGTCTGATGCTAGGCGATGCGGCTGTCGCTAAACGGAGAGCTCGGGTGCGTCTTCTCAAACATTCTCGTGAGCAAAGCAGCAAACAAGATGAACTGCTTAGCACCCGAGTCCCGCATCACAAACATCGAAATGAACGATCAACGTAGAAGCCCAGCCCACGAAGAACTCTAGTCATGCGTTTGTTGCACGCACCTCGGCGCCTGCTGCTTCGAAGCTGGCGAGAAGCATGTAGCATGCGTGTAGCGTGTGAAACATAACTCTAATCTGACGCTAATGCGTTGAATGTTGTTGAACGCGCTCGAGATATGCATCGGAAACGAATATCGAGTGCACACCGGTGACCGTTCTACCGAATTTTTGATACGGTATCTTGTATTTATTACGTCATATTCATTCAATGGTAGATCGACTTTATATTTATTCGCCTTTCTTACAGCTGCTTTTCACGGTTTTGTACTGTCAGTTAACTTCATCGTAATTACGAATCTCTAACACATGCATCTAGCGCTAGGTGTTTTGCCCTCATTTACTAATCTGACTTGTGTTCGTCCCATTATTACATTTGGTTCAGTTTCGGTATGTATGAAACTGTTTGTGCTTTGCTATCTAGTGAACATTTCGTTTCATCGACTACGTGTGCTATTACGCTTGACTCGGTGTAACCGCGTGTGTGATCTTCAGTGGCATTGCGAGTGTTTCCAAGAATGAGTGTGCCGACGTTCAAGCTCGGAATGTCAACAAGTAGGTATGTTTTAATAAGAATACGACAATGTCGCCCTTAATTAAGTTAGCAAATAGTGCCAATAGTGTAGTGACTGATTTGCCCTGGTGCCATTGCGATTTTATGCATTTAAAATGAAAATTTCATTGGGTATCATAATTGCGATTCTTTGTGTCTGCATTTCACCTCAGAGAACGTTCAAATTGCAGCTTACGTATCACTTGTACTGGTACTTGTACTAGCATTTTACTGGTACCTGTGCTTATACTTGGTATTTGTACTAGTATTTTACTGGTACCTGTGCTTATACTTGTACTTGTAGTGGTACAGCGTGCATGCGTGGCCGTTTTGAGTGTTGCCCTGGCAGCTGCTCGATGAACAAGAAGATATGGCAGCCCGAAAAGTGACGTCACTGTGCGGCTGCCACTGGCTGTCTTGTTGCGTGCATCATTTGTGAGCTGACGGTTCACAGTATGTATTCTATTCCTCACGTAAGGACCTAAGGCGCTGATGTGTCATGTTGCAGAATAATGTCATAAAATATACTAGTTCATCGCTCGTAAAATATGTTTAATCTAATTATTTATTACTAACGCAATTAAGTTGTGAACGCCTTATTTTTAAGAACGCGGAAGGACACAACAATAACGTGGGGCTCTCAGAGTCAAAGACCGTCATGAGGACCTTCAGTGGTGGCCCTAGCGCCCCTGGGACCCTCAGGAGTCAGCTAAGGAATGATTACACGGCCTGTGCTAAAAATTACACATGCACATTATTTGCTTTGCTTTGTTTTATTTGAAGTAGGCAAACAACAAAGTAAGAAGCCACCAACTGCCACAGAAACATCGCCAAACGTCTAGCATAGCAGCACACGAGCTAAAGTACCTACCACACCAAACAAGACAAAAGGGAAACTGATAGGATCTCAAACAAAAACTTGCAATCATATGTCGGTCCAAATAAGAATTCCCAGTCAACCCACGCAAAAGCCCAGGCCAAAACGCAGCCTCTTCTGTTGGAAGCATGACTGGCCTATTCATCAGGAAGTCGTTCACTGCTGACCATTTTCTGCCTTAGACGAAAGTGACATCGGCGTAGAATCCTGTCTGAAGAGACGGGTCGCCGTAGCGATAGGAGTAGAATTCCAGAGCCAGACGCCTGCCGGACGATGTGATGGTTTGATTCTGTAGCTCGGTGCCGCATTTGAAGAGATCCGGAATCGAGTCGCTGTCAGTGTGTACGTACACCAAGTCCCAAGGGCACATGCCGTTAGAGGGATCGTAGATCTTGAACGCGCCGAAGTCGATGCGGACCTGCATACCTGCGGGCGCGGTGACGATCCAGACACAGTGCTGTCCGGGAGGATACAGAGCCTGATGTTCGAACGCTGAAGCCACCGCCGGAGACGACTTGGGGCCTGATCAAGACCGCTATTCCTCGTCATGTTGCCTTAGTCCTGAAAGTCACTTAGATCTAATGGATAGTGGTCCGATAACACAACATGTCGCGCTAGCGCACTCTTTCAGTGATAACTTTCCCGATAGTATCAGGAAGCTAAATCAACTGCTCTTCTCAGCTCTTCGTCATAACTATGGCGGTTTTTCGTCTGGAACGTCATGATGGTAGCACGGACTGTCCTAAAAACCACACATGCACATTTGCTTTTGTTTGGTTTATTTGAAGCAGACAACTAACAAAGTAAGAACCCATCAACAGCAACAGAAGCGTAGCTTAGGTATAACGTCACACAGCAGCACATGAACTGAACTACAAGCCACAAGAAACGGAATAAAAGGAGCAGTGATATATCGATGTAAAACAGGTAGGTAGTCGCAATCATAGGTCGGCCCAAAAAGACTTTCAAGTCACAACACGCATGAGCTCAAAACATGTCCACTTCTGTTGGAAGCATGACTCAACGAGGGTTCAGTTATCCGGAAGCCTCTCTTTGGAGACGATCATCTACCTTATACGAAGGTGACGCTAGCAGTGAATCCTTTCTGATAGTACGGATAGTTACCGTATTGATAGCTGTGAAACTCTAGGGCCAGGCGACTGCCCGACGACGTGATGCTTTGGTTCTGCAGCTCCATGCCGCAGTTGACGTAGTCTGGGATCGAGTCGCTGTCGGTATGCACGGTCACCCAGTCAAAGGGACACTTGCCACCAGAGCGGTAGAGGATCCCGAACGCGCCGAAGGCGATGCGGACCTGCATACCTGCGGGCGCGGTGACGATCCAGACACAGTGCTGTCCGGGAGGGTATATGCTTGGGTAGTTGGGCGAGGTGATGGTGCCGGCCGTGGTGATGTCCTGGTCGCCGCACGGCGCCTCGTAGTAGGTGCCGGTGACGGTTTGGCACGTGGTGCCGCTGGTTCCCGGAGGACACACGCACGTGCAGCTGCTGTCCACGTAGCCGCCGTTGGCGCACGTGGGCGGGGACGAGCAGCTGTCGTCGCAGAGGTACATCAGGTTCGCCAGGTGCTTGTCGCGGTGTGACAGACCGTCGCGATTCCCAATAAGTCCCGCCTGAGCGATGTCGTTGGTGACGAGTGTCGGAAAACTATTATTAGTGAACTGAAATCCACCATAGTGCATGACGGAGCTCAAGTCGTATGGAACTCCAAGCGATTGTGAAGCTGATGCGATGTAGAAGTTGGGTTCGTATCCACTTTTAATGTTGTCATAAATGACAGTGACATAGGAGTCCCGATCCGTCCGAGATTGTTCGTGCCAGAACCCGATGGCATGGCCGATCTCGTGTATCACAGTACCGAGAAAAGCACATCCACTTCCAATGCTGACTTCTTGGCCGCTGTTAGAGCTCACCATGCCAACGTACGAATAACATCCTGTTCCCTGGAAGAACCGCAGGTGCGGCCCGCTGCTGTAACTTTCGGGCTTTTCTTCAAATGTGATGCACGTTGCTGCCTCCCACTCAGCGATGGCTGCTAGGATTACGGGTCTGTCGTTGGAAGACGAAGCATTGATTACAAAAGGTACATTTCCATTTGGCCACGTTTGAAAAATGTTACCTTTGCGATTGACGCGTTGTTCTTCCGTCAGGATGATGTCTCCTTCGAAAAGTTCTTCCACTGTTCCGTCTGGCAGGGTAACATTACAGGGAAGTTCTGTGTCGAATGGAGGTAGTACTGGTGGAGGCTCGATGACGTCGGGTTGCTTTGCTTCAGTTGGAACGGAGCCTGTTGCGGCCACCGCTGCCGCTGCCACTGACAGAAGAAGCACCAGGTTGAGACGAGCCATGGCTGCGATGTGCCAAGGGCTCTTTGGGCGTCTTTTTATATCCCATATTGCGGCATGAGTTGCGTGACCTTCTTGAAAGTAATTTACTCAAGATCAATTTGCTGGGGCCTCAACATCCCATCTTATTGCACGAACACCACCTGTTGCTGACGTAGGACTTGACACATGCGTCCCACGCAAATCGCATATGTGAATGACAAACGAGATTCCGGGTGTAGGTATCAGTCACGTCGCCATGATGGTGGGGGTGGGGTGTCACATTCGATATCGCAAACTAAGAAAACTAGAAAAAGGTGAGAAAAACATAGATAGTTTTCAAAGAGTATAAAAGAAGCGCAACACAGTCATTATTTGCCCAGGTCAATGACCAAGTCCTTAGAGGTCACTAAAGATAAATTTTCCCGTCAAATTTTCCCGATTTTCATATTTTTCATAAATCAACGCATAATTGGTTAACCCGCGCACCGACGGGAGTCTGCGCCAACTTCGCACCGACGGGGGGGGGGGGCGGATGACCGCCCCCCCTGAGATCTCGAGAACGAAGCAAGATAGCGACAAGCGGTAAACGGCATCGGATACGCACGGCCAAGATCTACAATTTTTACTAAGGCCATTTTCAGGTCAGGTCAAAGATGACGTCACAGGGGTCGAAAAAGTCAAAATGGCGGCGCTAGATATGGAGAGAGTTTTTCTCGAATAACTTTCGGATTAGTCAAGATAGGAACAAACTAAGGGCATCATCGTGATCCTCTCGTCAATCCGCATCGAATGATATATATGTTGACCTCGAAAGGTCAAGGTCAAAGGTTGACCTCAGGTCACGTGACCTCGAGGTCATCATGTATATCATTCGATGCGTCTTGACGAGCTGAACACAATGAGACCATCCACGCGTCTGTATCTTGTTCCTGTACGGAGTTATTGGCCAAAAACCTTTGGTGACCTTTGATGACGTCACATGACCTCACAGCTGCCCAACAGCAAAACAGACCTCAAGGTAGTAAAGGTTGATCGTATATGAAGTCATGTATGGTATATAGGGCCATTCCGACCCGTTTTAGTGGTAAAAACAGGGAGTTGATTTTTCCCCCATTGACATTATAATGGGGAGGTCGCGAAATTGACCCGACCTTAGGTCACCGATATCAAAATTCCGAGATAAACAAATTGTAGCTACTAATGACCTGATAATATCCTGCGACTTTCAAAGGCCTCCGACATCTAATGTAGCTCTGGCACGGTGACAAAGTTGCAAAAAGGTGACTTGAGGTTGGGTCATTCAAAGTGACCTGGTGACCTGACCTTAAAAGGTAGGAGGTTCAAACTTGCACACCATGTGTAAAATTGATGAGGTTATAGTCATACTAAATTTCGCGGCGCTACGCCCCGCGGTTTTCCCGCTATTCGCGAAAAACCTCAGGGGGGCGGATATCCGCCCCCCCCCGTCGGTGCGCGGGTTAACCATAAGATCTACAACGTGCCCCAAAAGCACAATCAATAGCCCTTTCTAACCCGCGCACCGACGGGGGCGGCGGATATCCGCCCCCTGAGGTTTTTCGTAGATAGCGGGAAAACCGCGGCGCTACGAAATTTCATAAGACTAGACTCTCATCAATTTTACACAGGTGTGCAAGTTTGAACCTCCTAACTTTAAAGGTCAGGTTACCAGGTCACTTTGAATGACCCAACCTCAGGTCACTTTGTTGCAAATTTGTCACCGTGCCAGAGCTACAGTAGATGTCGGAGGCCTTTGAAAATCGCAGAATTTTATAAGGTCATTAGTAGCTACAATTTGTATGTGTATCTCGGAATTTTGATATCGATGACCTAAGGTCAGGTCAATTTCTCGACCTCCCCATTATAAGTCAATGTGGGAAAAATCAACTCCCTGTTTTTACCACTAAAACGGGTCGGAATGGCCCCATAAACCATACATGACTTCATATACGATCAAATTTCACTACCTTGAGGTCTGTTTTGCTGTTGGGCAGCTGTAAGGTCATGCGACGTCATCAAAGGTCACCAAAGGTTTTTTCCCAATAACTCCGTATGTACGGGAACAAGATAAAGCCGCGCGGATGGTCTCATTGTGTTCAGCTCGTCAAGGCGCATCGAATGATACCTATATGTGATGACCTCGAGGTCACGTGACCTGAGGTCAACCCTTGGCCTTGACCTTTCGAGGTCAACATATATATCATGCGATGCGGATTGACGAGAGGATCACGATGATGCCCTTAGTTTGTTCCTATCTTGACTAGTTCGAAAGTTATTCGAGAAAAAACTCTCCATACCTAGCGCCGCCATTTTGACTTTTCTGACCCCTGTGACGTCATATTTGACCTAACCTGAAAATAACCCTTGTAAAAATTGTAGACTTTGTCCGTGCGTATCCCATGCCGTTTACCGCGTGTCGCTATCTTGCTTCGTTCTCGAGATCTCGAGGGGGGGGGGGTCATCCGCCCTCCCCCGTCGGTTCTAAGTTGGCGCAGACCCCCGTCGGTGCGCGGGTTAACCTCGCTCGTATTGGCATTTTGTCTGCCGCAGTACCGAGGGGGTATGACCCCCAGTTGTTCAGTCCCTGATCGAGCTAGAACTTTACATAAAAAAAAACGGGCGTACTACCCGTGACGTGGGAAAGTCGATTGTACTTACTCAATTGTGATGTCCTAGTTCATTGGTTGGTCTTCCAGGTAAAAAGTCAATAGCTCAAAAGTCGGGATAATCTACACATGCTAAAGCTTCTCAAAGTAGGGTTGCGATGAAGTTTTCGGGGTTCCGATTTCAAATTGAATATTAGTTTTGATAAACCCGCGCCCGGCTGGGGGTCCTGGATTTCCACGCCCTGCTGGGGGGGGTGTTTGAACACCCCGCTTGTAACTCGGCTCCTGGGCCATGTAGCGATACGCGGAAGGCGGCGTTCGAAAGAGCGCCAAAAATAATGACGAAATCACTTCGGTCAATTTCTTGGTCAGGTCAAAGGTCAGGTCACCAGAGGTCATTGAAGGCAAAATTTCGCCGATTTCCAGGTAGAATGTCGAAAATTTCCAAGAAGCCAACGCATAACTCGGGAACCAATAGAGCTACAGCGCCGCGGAAAAGCGCATTCGATAGCCCTATTAACGTCCTTTCTGAGAGTATTCTCAGATTTGACCTAACTTCAACGATTTTGCCTGCAGGGGACAAAAACTGCAAAAATAGCCGATTTTTTCGGAAACAGTTTTTCGGCAATAACTTTTGACCCAAGCCTTGTACGAGCTTACTTTTACCGGCATCGTGTTCCTCTCGTCAAGACGCATCGAATGAACTATAACTTGACCTTGAAAGGTCAACTTGAAAATTTGACCTCAGGTCAAGGTCATGACCTGACCGGAAAGGGTCATGTTGCATATCAGTCGATCCGTATCGTCGAGCTGAACACATCTAAGGCGTTTTCATTGCTCTAGCATGCCTCTATCAAAAGTTATTTGCGAAAAACTGTTAGATACCATTCGTGACCTAAGATGACCTCAGGGCATAAACAAGGGTCACGGACACCATTTTCATGTTCAGTGTGTCTAAAACACTTGTAATTCGGTGTTTGGGAGTGTTTATAATGTCTTTCGTCCAAAAGAGGCGCATTTCAATTTTCTCCCATTGACTTAAGTAATGGGGAGGTCGCAAAATTGACCTGACCTTAGGTCATCGATATCAAAATTCTCAGAGATACATATTGTACATGCTATTGCTCTTAGCAATCGCTGAAAGTTTCAAAGCGATTGTTCACTTGGTGTAGCTATGACAGACATTGAAACTTTTTATGAGGTGAGGTCACTTCAAGTAACCTGGTGACCTGACCTTGAATGACCTTGGTCTGAAATTTTCACAACATGTGTAGAATTGATGTATGCTAAGGTGTACCAAAAACGGGCTCCTTTTTGAGATATTTGCAAAAAACCACAAGGGGGGTGTTCAAACACCCCCCCCCCCCCCCCCAGCAGGGCGCGGGTTAAAGACGACATATCCATGCATTTGGGAAACCGGAAATTATTTGCCCCTTGTTTTTTTCTGCTGTAATCCCACTGTGCGCTTTAAGAACTGTTGTATTTTACTAAGACCGTGCCTCAGGCTACCAGCAACTGTCCGATAGTCACATGACCTACCCCGGTCACCTGATCTTGGCACCGGTGAGGCGCCAGGGGCCAGTGTTTGGCAGGCGGCACTCGCACCTGAACATGATGTCTACTATGGCCTCACACTAAATCAAGACAGATATCATGGATGCAGTAAGGCAAGCATCAAGCGAGCTTTGTCCTCCTTGTGTGGAACTCTTCTTAAAGGAAATAGTTCACTTTCACGAAATTATTTTTTTTGCAATGGATTTATGATTTTTTATGTTCAAAATGATCAGCAAAGAAAATAAAACCTTTTTATAACAAAAGATTATTTTCTATATTTTGATATAGGAAGAACTTTTCAGTCTCTGTAAGGCACACGCGATCCAGTATGAAAAGAGCATGGGTCCCGAAAATTCTTCAGAAACTAGAGAAATTATCGCGGCCACCGGCATTTGGGCGATCTGCTCGTGCTTTTGTTACTGGAGCGCCTCTTTCCCCGAGATTGCGCCGGCCGCCTGCCATGGACGAAAAATACACGACTTTGAAATCCGGCTGATCGTGGGAAAATACCGCCGGAGGTCTCGGTTATATGCAGGAATTCACCGGGATGTATAGTATATACCACTGCCTCGATGTATAGGCTATAGCCTGCAAGCTTGCTTTGGTGCAAACTGCAAACATGTCAAACATGGTATAGGGCGGATTGTCGATTGATGTAAGCGAATCAGACGTTTTATTGACAATTTCCGATTCTTTTTCGAGAATTACGGCAATCATATTTTATTTTAGGAAGTGTTATTAGGAGCGGAGCAAAAATCTCATTTCTCC